CAGCAATTCAGCCATGGTCCATTTCCACCAAGGCAGTGTGAGTGCACACCTGGCATTGCAAGAAGGATTTCTGCATCTTGGGAAGCAGGTGGGACATCCTAATCAACACGCCACTGATGGTGACAGACTGGTCAATGTCTTCTGAATTCAGACTCATGCAATTAGTCTTCAACACAGTGAATGGTCCTACTTAAATCTGATGTTGTATGACTGAGTCCGGTAACTGTCAAAGAATATCTCATTGACAACCATGTTAAAAGTTAAGATAACTTCCTGTGGGTGTACAGATTTTTGTCAAATGATTTTATTCAGTTTACACTTTAACATGGCTCCCCAATAATATTAATCACCTCATCATTGCACGTACAAACATCCAGCAATATCTACGGAAACATTGTCTTCTTCAGCCAGAGGGTCAATAAAACGTTGAAGAAAACCCCCAAATTTTCTTCACATGTTGCCATATTTACATATGTTGCTCAAATCACAAGTTTTTGGCCTAGAGACTGCTCACTGGCCACTGTATCCTGGGTTGCTGGCCCATCCCACAAATTCACCTACAGACTCTGATATAGACCCCACATCAGGCCTCTACTTTATGGGTGTGCCGCTAACACCACAGCTTGGGGTTCCTTCTACCCAAGAGCTGGAAGTGTCTTATGTCAGTGGTGAATTAACATTAAAATCAAGGTGAATAGTTGAAGAATGCATCAGAAGAGAGCTGGAAAATATGTCCTGCGTGGCAGGCTTCTGCAGGTCAGTTCCAGGTCAGGTTGGCATCAGCAGCAGCTCTCCTGTAGAGGTAGAATCCTTACCTCTACATCTCTGAGATGGAGATGACCTGGCATTCTCACCTGGAGCAGGAAAAGATGGCCACCTCTGAGGTACGTAAGGCTCTCGGGTGTACCTGACAGGTCATGTTCCCAGACAGCCCCAAGTAAAGAAGAGAAACGTGGAAGTACCTATCTTACCACTTCATAAAATACATTGTAAAGCTTCCATACAACAGTTTCCTGGAAACCACTGCCTCTCCCCCCCACACCCTCCACATAAATGTACTGGATATTTACAGTACTTATGTCAACTGTGTTGTTTCTTAACTTTTTGTCTCACCGCCCCCCTAAAAAGAATATAAATTAATTAAGGGACAGACCCTCATTCTTTCACTTGTCTCTTCACAGTGACACAGAGGCTTTGGAAAGTATACATAGCTAGCATGCCCTTAATATAGACATGCAGTGGTTACTTGAATGTAATTAAAAATTTTATCACTAGAATGTTCCAATTGTAATAAAGAGCCTGACCTCATTTGTGATGTTTGGCTGCTGATTTCTTTCTAAGCTTTGGTCTCCCTGTCCCCTTTGGCCCCACATCTGGACATGCCAATCAAGAAAGCTCATCCTGCACCTCCTTTGCTGACACCAATAGGAAATATAAGCCTTGAAAATCTCTAGCCCAAGTACATGGGAATTTTTCCCAGTCCCACCTCCTAGCCACTAGCAAAACCTGACCCACTCTTGCTGCCTGGCCCAAGCCAGCCTCGACATCCCTGAGCCCACTCTGCTCTCCTGGGAGTTCCTGTATGAGTAGTAATCTTTCAAATTTTCCTGGTGCATGCAGTATTATCAACTTTGACATCTGAATGGGATGACCAAAATACTCTTATGAGGCAAAGCAATATGACTGGGGAAAAAATAACTCCATTTTTGTTAAAGTCAATTTGAAATGTGAGACAACAAATAATGAAACTGAGCATGTGATTCTTGATGTCAGGGTTAGGTGTTCAAGCCCCATACTGGGCTGAGTTTACTTAAAAAACATAAGGAAACTGAATATCTGCAATGATATATATCATTCAAACTTAGTCTCTAAATACATAGAATGGATATACTCCTTTAAAAAGTGTCACTGGGCTGAAAGCTCACTGGGACAAATATACAAATATTCCCCCCAAAATAAATGTTATAATTATTATATTAAATTATTATTTTGACTATACATTTTCCAACAGCAACATTTCGTATAACTGAATTGTTCCATGAGAACCACCTACCTATTATGGTGTGTCTGTTTCCGTCCCCGTAATACTTTCACTAAATAAGTATCTCCTAAGCAACCTCCCAAATTATTATCCTGTTTTTGTGAGGAATTTTCAGAAGAATGAATATATTCAGGTTCCTGCATCCTAGCCAAACCATGAATTAATAAATTGGCAGGATCAGAATCATGTTCAACAACTTCCCTTGGATTCATACCTGCCAAATCTCTACATAGACAGATAGGGAGATCTTGGCAACACTTTGAGTTTAGATTTGACTTACTCATTTTTTAGTTGAAATATCTTACTCTGCCAATATATTCAATGCATTTAATTCTCAAGCACTTCTGTTGATAAGAGTCTAAATTCTCATTAAAGCAATTCTTTCACAAAGAGGAAACATACCAAGAGAAAGGTCCAGGCTATTCTCCATTTGCAACATTTCTTTCTTCCACTTCCTGGTTTCTTGTACATGTAGTTCACTTCTAATGATAAATTTTTAATTTTTTCTCTGGCTTTTCTAAATACATTCATATTTCATTCGACTAGCTTTCTCTTTTTGTTTCAGGAGCGAAAGGCGAACACATCAGAGAGAAAAGGATGGGTAAAATAAGGAACATAAACTTCCAAATGTCTGTCTTCTTTGTGCAAAGGGTACAGGAGAAATTTGTTTGTTTTATTAATCATTTCATTTTAAATCCAAGAAGCTGTGTGAGACAAACGGAAAATGCCAGCAAGGATGACATGACAAAGAGGCTAATAAACCACAGAACCCTTATACCGGTGAGAGAGCTAAACAGCGTAAACTGCCTCCCGGGAACAGAGCACGTAGCTCAGCCAAAGCAGGTCACAGCCAGGCTAACCACTACACTGACAGTGAGGAAGACGAATGCACCAAATATCTAAAATAGTTCACGAAGTCTGCAAAATATTAACTGTTTAAGAATTATATTCTTTTTTATAAGATAAATTAAAGATCATCTCCTCTAATGTCTTACCATGTATCATGTCATCGAAAAACAGTGAAGTCTTGTGCTTATTTTTTTCAGTTGATGGTACATTTTATAGAAAAAGAAGACCCCAACTATTTATACTTTGTGACAGGCCCCGGAATAAGTTGAGTATCTCTAATCCTAAGGGTATTAACAAAGGCAATTGAAAACATTTCAACTACTAACTTTATACTTGCATACAATTCCCTGAGAAGTAAGTAAGGGCTCCTTGTTTTATGCATGTATGTGACTTTCTGACTTTGTTTCTTAATTTTTTTTAAAATCAGAAAAAGAGAGAGTGAGAGAGTGAGTATAAGCAGGGGGAGTGGCAGGCAAAGGGAGAAGCAGGCTCCCTGCTGAGCAAGGAGCCTGATGTGGGACTCGATCCCAGGACCTTAGGATCATGACCTGAACTGAAGGCAGCCACTTAACTGGCTGAGCCACCCAGGCGTCCCTGACCTTGTTTCTTTTAATGTTTCATTTCTCTATTACACTGCCTTGTGCTTTGAATTAACAACAATATTGGTGACAAAAAAATCCTTTTAAAAGATATCTCAACAAAAAATGACTTATTGTATCCCCTTTAGGTGAAAATTAAGGAGAGTGAAATGTTAATCAAAAGTTACCTTCTTCCTAGAAACATCGCTAAAGGCAAGGGAAGCAAGAGCAAAAATGAACTATTGGGATTTCATCAAGATAAAAAGCTTTTGCACAGCAAAAGAAACAGTCAACAAAACCAAAAGACAACAGACAGAATGGGAGAAAATATTTGCAAATGACATATCAGATAAAGGGCTAGTATCCAAAATCTATAAAGAACTTCTCAAATTCAACACCCAAAGAACAAATGATCCAATCACGAAATGGGCAGAAGACATGAACAGACATTTTTCCAAAGAAGACATCCAAATGGCCAACAGACACATGAAAAAGTACTTAACATCTCTTAACATCGGCATCAGGGAAATCCAAATCAAAACCTCAATGAGATACCGCCTCACACCAGTCAGAATGGCTAAAATTAACAAGTCAGGAAACGACAGATGTTGGCAGGGATGTGGAGAAAGGGGAACCCTCTTACACTGTTGGTGGGAATGCAAGCTGGTGCAGCCACTCTGGAAAACAGCATGGAGTTTTCTCAAAAAGTTGAAAATAGAGCTACCCTATGACCCAGCAATTGCTCTACTGGGTATTTACCCCAAAGATACAAATGTGGGGATCTGAAGTGGTACGTGCACCCCGATGTTTATAGCAGCAATGTCCACAATAGCCAAACTATGGAAAGAGCCAAGATGTCCATTGACAGATGAATGGATAAAGAAGATGTGGTGTACACACACACACACACACACACACACACACACACACACACACACACACAGAGGAATATTATGCAGCCATCAAAAAGAATGAAATCTTGCCATTTGCAACGATGTGGATGGAACTGGAGGGTATTATGCTGAGCAAAATAAGTCAATCAGAGAAAGACCTGTATCATACGATCTCACTGATATGAGGAATTCTTAATCTCAGGAAACAAACTGAGGGTTGCTGGAGTGGTGGGGGGTGGGAGGCATGGGGTGGCTGGCTGATAGACATTGGGGAGGGTATGTGCTATGGTGAACTCTGTGAATTGTGTAAGACTGTTGAATCACAGACCTGTACCTCTGAAACAAATAATACATTATATGTTAAAAAAAAGAAGAAGAGAGTAGGAAGGGAAAAATGAAGGGGGGGAAATCGGAGGAGGAGACGAACTATGAGAGACTATGGACTCTGAAAAACAAACTGAGGGTTCTAGAGGGGAGGGGGTGGGAGGATGGGTTAGCCTGGTGATGGGTATTAAAGAGGGCACGTATTGAATGGAGCACTGGGTGTTATATGCAAACAATGAATCATGGAACATTACATCAAAAACTAATGATGTAATGTATGGTGATTAACATAACATTAAAAAAAAAAAAAGTTACCTTCTTGATGGTCTCCAGCATGGAACGCCCTCCCTGCCAAGGCTTGGAGTTCTTTCTGATACACGACAAACTGGCCATGCTGTGCCATTTTCGGTCCTCCAGTTTTTTGTGAAAAGCATTAGCAAGCAAAAGCACTGTGTCATATATGTAAAGGTTTGAAATCTGAAAAGACATTAGACGGTAATCATTAGAATCATTGATGCCGACCATCAAGAATAAGGAGAAAATCATCAGCTCGGCTGTTTCCGTTCATGTCATAGATGGCTGGTTTACTGGGTTATTTATTAAGCAAAAGGTTTCTTTTTTTCATTTCCTGGGCAATTTCACCATTGACAATGAAGTCTTGTCTGATTGTATGCCTCAATTGGTTTTTCAGCTTATTTAGGTGTGAAAGAGAAGATAAAAAAGAAAAGTTTCGACAGAGGCAAGGCTGTTAGTGTCAGATTTTGATAATCACTGGCCCTCATTTCATCCTGAAGAGGTAAGGGTCTAAAGAGCTTCAGATTGGAAGGGCAAACTGAATAATACATTTTCTGAATATGTCAAGTTTTTGCATTCTGATTATTCAGATGGAGAAATATCAACTCAATCTTACATATAAAATGAGTGTCATCAGTGCAAGGAAAAGGAAGTGGCCATCTGTGTATATGCACATGTCTATGGGGATTTGGTGATGAGAAAATGAGAGAACACGGCACCACTCATAAACATTACAATTATCAAGGATCTATACAAAATTATCTCGTTATACACAGGTATTGCAATTTATTAACATGACAAATACCATAAACTATTAACTGCGTGTGAATATGTGTTATATATATTAATGCTTTCTTCTTCCAAGGTAATCATGTCATTACCTTCCTTCTATATAAATTGAAAAAATGAATCATGAAAATTTTTGCTATGATCTATTGCACTCTTACACTTAACTCTTGCCAGAAGTACTATTCATACTGTCAATTATATAAGGTATTTATTTTTCAAAGAAATTAGAAATTATTTAGGAAATATAAACACCAAGAGATATCCAAACTCAATAAAAAATTTTAAATGTTGTATTATTACTTCTCTGAAAGAAAAATAAGACACAAAGTAAAAAAAATGAGAAATCAATGTAGCTATGAAAGTTAAATCCATCTTAAAGTGTTTAAATTTCCTCAGACTTTTAAACGTATCTTGTTATCAGTTTTTTCTGAAAACAAAGAGGACAATATGTTGATTGCCCTTTGTTTATGATTAATTATTAAGGAATCTTATGAAATTGTCTGCCCACATCACCAAATGGCACTAAATTTCAACTATTGGGATGACAGTTTAATATGAAAAACTGTTAATAAGCACTTCCTAACAGTGCCTAGGAGAATCTTAATCACTTGTGTTTATTAGGCATCACTTTATATGCATAGTACTTAGGGAAGGCAGGCCTTTCTTTAAAGAGACATGGACATTAAGGAGGGCAGGTGTTGTAATGAGCACTGGGTATGATATAAGACTGATGAATCACTGGCCTCTACCTCTGAAACCAATAATACATTAGATTTTAATTGAATTTAAATAAAAGAAATAAAATGATGTGACTTGAAAAAAAAAGACATTGCATGCTCTTATGTACCATGTGAAATACAAGTTTGTTCTTTATAAGGAAATATTAAGGCAGGCTAGTCTCACCTTCACCTCCCTGTACCTCCCCTGCCAGATAATTACTAGAGAGACTAGGGGGCGTGGCTGAAATCTGCAACGAATGAAGACTTGAAGATAAAAGTAGTTGATGAATCAAAATTCAGTTTGATTTAGACTTCAAAGACCCAAAAGGAAAACCTTGGGACCCTTTCTCAATAATCTTCAACAATCTGGCTTCTTTCAACCTTTCCCTGCTTCACTTCCTCAAACTTGCTTGCTTTTATCTCCCCAGCTCTCATTGGCTTCTCCCTCTGACTAACTGCTCTAAGTGTATACATGAAATGGTTGGGGTAACACTCTTTGATGTCTCTTTACCTTTCTCCAGCTACCTAACTTCTAATATTCAATTCACAGGTCCACAAGTTAGGTGAATCCTACCCTGACAATTTCTCAGGACTCTACTTGTGTCCAGGCTAATTGGGCAGTCTTCTTTAACTCCCATAATGCTCATGTTGCATGCCTCTATTTGCAACATATCATACTAGTAAGATTTTTTTTTTTAATTTGGTTTTCACACTAGAATATTAGTTCCTTCGGATAGGGGCTCATGGTAGTGCAAAGTCCCCTTTGCACTCTTGTTTCCCTTCTTTATTTCCTCCTGGCTTAGCCTAGAGCCTAGCATACATTTGGTTTTTGATAAATAGTTGTCAAATAAAAGAAGACAAAAGAAAAGAAAGTCAGGTTTAATATCAGGTATATCTGACAGAAGTCAAGATGTGAGAAACCTGGCAAATTGCGTTCCATCCAAATCTTGATCCTGCCATGGCACAGTGTCTTTTGCAAACTCTGAGGCATTACCTTGAGCATCCGTGCTGCTCCTAAGGGTGAGTGCCTTGTCCTTGATATATGACAGGTGTTTTCGACAAATGACTGCCTCTCATTCCCACCTTCCAAACTATGGAATCGAAAGGGGGGTGATGACATTCTCTGAGATTTCTATTACCCCTTCTATTACTTCTTTCTCAGGGAAGTGCCTATCCTGTTTGCAGGTTCATGCTCTTTCCTATGCTACAGTCCTATTCTGCCATCACCTACTGGTCTCTTGGTCTCTCTATATTCATGAGGTCTTTGACTCCCCTTCTCACAGTGATTCTCAACTATCTCCCTGCATTTAAAGAAAACGTCACTGCAATTTCTACTGTGATGGTTTTGACTTCTATTCTGGCCACAACCAACACAAGTGACTATTTACTGGATGCAAACACATATCTCCTCTAACATCTTAAACTCCAATTTCCCCACCATCTGACCAATCATTTCTATCTTACTGTCACTACACTTGTTTTCTGACTTAACTGAGCCCCCAGCACCCACCTCCTTTATAAGACAACCTTCCACGAGAGACTATGGACTCTGAGAAACAAACTGAGGGTTCCAGAAGGGAGGGGGGTGGGGGGATGGGTTAGCCTGGTGATGGGTATTAAAGAGGGCACGTACTGCATGGAGCACTGGGTGTTATACGCAAACAATGAAACCTGGAACACTACATCAAAAACTAATGATGTAATGTGTGGTGATTAACATAACATAACAAAATTTTAAAAAATTAAAAAATGAAAGAAAAAAAGAGACAACCTTCTAATATTTGACAGCATCCATCACTTGCCCTGAAACATCCTCTTTCCTTCAATTGTTCATCATTTGGTATAATTTCTAGGCTGCTCATCATCTCAGCATTTTTCTTCTGTCCTTCTCTTATTTTTTAATGTTTCTGTTCAGAGTTTAGAACTCATAACCAACACATTATTGCAGATGTGATCTGACTAGGACAGAGTAGTATAAGGGGCTATCTCTCTTGATCTTAGCAAAATGCTCTGCTAAGGAGACCAAGATTACATTAAAATGGTTTAGAGCAAATAGGACTTGTGCAAGGTTCAAACAAAATTTGCCTTCATCTGAATAACTTTAAACAGCTGTCAGACCAGGTCTTATCCACCCAGAGTTCCTGTAATGATTTTGAACCTATCCTTTATCTCTTTGAAATTTCAACTTTTAGGTTTATTATTAGTCAGTGAATATTAATAATTTGGATCTTGATTATATAACACAACATAAGCTTTCTCTCCTGGCTTTGTGTCATTTACAAATCTGATAGGCACCATTATTCACTTTTATTTGTGTAATGGTTAATATTTGAAAATGTAAGGTCCAAGAATACTATATTTGGATGACCATAGAGAGTTTCTTGCACTTCAAGAGTAGAATATTTATTATCATTATGGTTGAATATTCTTTTAGTTCTGTAATTCCCAAGTTGAAGGTAAAAGAAGTTACGGATATTAGAAGTAACCACAGTTACAAAATATATCTAAGCCATGTTCTAGGCATATCAAATTTGCTCAAAGATTTGAAGAATAAACAAAGTGGCAAATTATTTGAAATATTACTTTTAATTTTAAAGAAACTCATAAGTTATAACTTTTAAGATAATGAGACTTTCATATATTTGAACTTTTTTCTTTTTCCTCTTCTTCTTTTTTTTAATCGGAAAACAGAATGTTTACTACCACCTTCTATTCTTAGGAGTCCTTTATTGAAATATTTGTGTGACATCAGCCTAGCTAGACTTTTTAATGCCTTCCTATAAGGATTCCACGAGAAAATTGGTCAAACACTACCTAAAAATCAATATGCAATAAATAGGTTTATAACATTCTCTCAATTTAAAAAATTAGTAAACAGGATTTAGTTTGGTAGTGCTTGCTTTTAAGGAGTCCTATTGTCATATCTGAAGTATCCCAAATCATGTATTTAATAATACACTCTACAGTTTATCCAAATATCAACTTTTAGTGTATTAAACTCTGTCAGAATCTTTTTTCTTCCCTTTGAAACTTGGAACAATATACCAACGTCATGTACGTGGGTCTTCTTCCCAAGTATATTTCTAGTATTTCTACTTATAATATTGTGATCATATCTACTGCTTTATTTACTATTCTAAAACAATTATTTGACCTCATTTTAATGCAGTAAGGCATACTCTTACCATCTCCAAACTCTGATCCGTATAAATGAGTGGTCTGCTTTTTAAAAATAACTTTAATTTTTCCAATTTGAAGACAATTTTTCTTAGATGGAGACAACAGAAGCAAAAAAAAAAAAAATGAACTTTTCTCTTTTCTCTCCATTAGCAGCCAGATTAACATTAGTTTCACCAAGCAGTGAATGGCTCACTTTTTTCTTGTTTCATATATTGTAAAAACTTTGTTTCTAGAGCTAAAAGTTTTCTTTAACATTTATTTTGCAACTTCAACTCACCCTTGATTTTAGTCTTTCTGGCACTAATTTAAAGATTTGGAAAACTTGTTTTTTGTTCTTTCTAAATCTTCTCTTTCTCTGTACATTAAATTAAGTAAAGCCCAGAGACCTCTACTGAGGCTCACCTGTACCCTCTTCTCCCCTGTTGTACTGATTATTGTGATTTTATAGTTTGGGTTTCTATTTAATAGTTGGGTCTCTATTTTTAGAGCTCACTTGAGTCATACTTTCATACTTTTACTTTTTCTGAGTTATTTTTAATATACCTTGCTGATAAGATAAAAATCTGTCTGTTATCCTATTTACCTGCAATTTTTTTTATGGTCTCCAAGTTGAAGGTTACTTCTCTGAAGGAATCCCATACTCCCAAATTTTTAAAACATATTTTTCTTGTTGCTTCCTCTAACTTCAGTGAGATAAAATTTTCACCAAGGGAAGCCTCTATATCAAATGCTCTGCTTTTAGTGGAACATCTTAAATTCAAAAGCCCTGCATTTAGATTCTTAATTATATAAATCTCCACATATAAAATTTCTTTCAGTTTTTCTTTTATATAGTAAATATTTTGTCAAAATCGATTATATATAATAAGCAAGTTACTGTGTAATAAATCCTCAAAGAAAAAGTAATTTTCTTATTCCATCTGTGGGTTTGATGGGAGGAAGATGAAGGTGTGGGATAAAAGGCGTGGTGTTTCCTGTATAGTCTTAACTCATTATATAGGCCTGGGGATATGAAGAGAAAAAGAAAGAAAGGAAGAAAGGAAGAAAGGAAGAAAGGAGGAAAGGAAGAAAGGAGGAAAGGAGGAAAGGAGGAAAGAAAGAAAGAAAGAAAGAAAGAAAGAAAGAAAGAAAGAAAGAAAGAAAGAAAGAAAGAAA